GAGGGCGGGCGGGGGGAGGGCGCTTATCCCTGGGGGAGGGCGAGCCCGCGTGTTTGCGTGCGTCCAGGCGTGAGGAACGGTTAAGTAACGCGCATCCACGGTATTGGTTTGGGGCAGTGGTGTTTTTCTTGGTTTTAATACGAATAGCCCCACAAAGAAGTAATTCGGCTTTTTAAGCCCAGAGAGGTGAGTAGGTTTTGAATTAGTTTGTTTGTGAGGAAGACGGAAACAAATCTTTTCTCATGCCTTTCAGAATAGTTTGGGAAGATTGGCATTGTATCAAGCCTGAACATTGGAAGGGCTATGTTAAAAAAAAAAAAAAAAAAAAGACAGTTTAGAAGGTAAGGTCTGTGTAGAAGGCAAAATATCTCTTTTGTGAAAAATAAAACCAAGATGGTTGTGTTTTTCTTAAAATTCCAGCAAGTTCAACCCAATGTTTGGTTTTGATTAATGAACATCTGGAAGTGTGTAGCTCCATCAGAATTCCTCTTGCCAAATCTAGAATTTATGCCCTGTATTAATGAAATGGTTCTTCTTGGACTGCAAACAACATGTGTGTTTCACGATTGAAACCCAGTAGGGAATTAGTATATATGTAACTTGCATAGAGAGGGGATGTGGAAACGCTGTGTAGATAGCCTCTTTTTTTTTTTAAATAAATAATTATGTTCTTTGTTTCTCAGGGGCAGATGTGGCCTTTAATTGTTTGTGTATTGCAATGTTCTTGTTTTGTTTTGTTTTTTTTTTTTTATTATCAGGGATATTTCACCAAAAAATGGCAGTGAAGTATTTTTCTCACGCAAAATTTATGAAAGATATTCATTGGCTCCGAGCCTCTCTGAACTATGGCATTTATCAAACAGGTATATTCTGTTATGTTATAATTTTGTGCTGTTTGTCATCATCCTGTTGATACATAACCTTACTGTTTTGGGGGAAAGCTGCATGTTACCTGGTATGCAAGGATTTGTTACTGACTCCTTGGTCCAGCTTTACCTATTGTGAAACCTCAGAAAGCAGGAAGAGACTAGGTTGGGACCTCTGGTCTTTCGTGTCTTTTGGGGGGTAGAGTGGTATTTTGGGGGTTTTGGGATGGGGTTTGGGTTATTTTTTTGGGGGGTGCTGCTTGTTGTTTTTTGCTTTCTCTTATGTATACCAAAGAGGGATGAAGTTTGACCCACGCTGTTAACTGGTCATGGTAAGGATCCTGTAACCCATGAACCAGACCTAATCCTTTTTAGAGATTAATGTCTTGCTATCTGTCCATGTCTTCTCACTTTGTAGAAGGCTGACGGTAGTGTAGATTGAAATGGCTTTTACTTGTATCTTTTGGAAGTAGCCAACACTGTTTACATAGATCCAACAGTGTCTTAGGTGCAGTGGCAATACAATTAATTCCTTGAGTAATGAAGAAACTGTATAGAGTGTTAGCTGAAGAATGGGAAATGAAATTATGTGAACACAGGTGGTACAGGTAGTATTGGTTGTGCAGTTTCGATATCTTTTTATTTTTTTAAGTTGAGGAAGTAGAATCGACATTTGTTTCACATAGTGAAAAGCATAGCTCATGCTGCTGGATTTCAGAAGTTGGAGGACTGTATTTAGGCTATTGGGTTTTTTTAAGAAGTCATTAAGCTGGTGGGGAGGGACAAGTGTCTCATGGTGGATGAACATTCACACCACAAGGAACGTGGATGGGAGACCAAGGTAGCTACTGTGCTCTGAGTGGGGAGTTCAGCATGTGGAGAAATAATTTGTTGTAAAGGGGAACTACTGTATTTTTATGAACTGGTGCTGAGAAGGCGCATTTGAAGGGAATACCTCTCTACACCGCATGACTCTCTATATCCCACATCTTTACCTAGAGAAGGCTTTTCTGGTTCATCTCTGTTGGAGCAACTTTCCTTGAGCTGGCAGAGATGAGCACAGCCCTCACAGCTTGCTACTGGGTACACTGGATATTACTGTAGGATTCTTCCTTTAGATGATGTAGAAAAAGGGTTTCTGGAGCAGACACGACTGCGCTCAAGAGTGGAATTGTGTTCAGTTGTGTATGGTAGAAGTGGGTTTATAGCCAGAAAAGAAGTTGCAACCAGAAAAATTCAGAAATTGATGGAACTGGGTTGTGTGGCCATAGTCAAGAGGAAGAGAAATGGAATCTATTGGGGCAAATGTGAAGGTAAAAACCGGAGGAAATTTGCCAATTTTTATATTGGGGTTTCTGATAGATATTTACTAAAGTGTGTGTTCTCTCACCATAGAAGCTGTGAAGGCAGGTTGCTGATAAAATGAAGGGGAAAAATTTAAGCCGTCAGCTCAAATAAAGCATAATGCTGTAAATATGGACAGAAAAGCTCTGTCAGATTATTTTGGTTTGCACCCCGATGAAGACTGTGACAGCACTGCATACTGAAATGATCTTGATGTGCTGCCATTTCATTCAGTGCTGAATATAACCAATTTAAGCTGCTAGAATTTCTTGATGTTCCTACATTGGCATATCTGAGTCAGCATCTTGTCGCTGCTGCAGCTTAATTAAATTTGCCAGTTTGTGCCATGAGGATGGACACATTCTCATATTCAGAGAGACAGCTGTGAAGTATTATTAAGAACTGTGGATGTGATACTGCTGGGTTTGAATAACACTCGAGATGTTTTCTACTGCTGAAATCGTATCTTAAAAATATGCTTTTTCCAAGATCAGCAGTTAATGTTCATTTTGTTAACCTTAAATATTTTCTCTCTTAAGAACAGTTATTTTAAATAGAGCGGGGCTAAAATGGCCTTCATATACTGGAGTTGTTTTAAGAACCAGCTTTATAATGTTACTTCTTTGTTGTTGTTAGGGCAGCTAGGCCCCTTGCTTTAGCCCAATATTATTTTTGGCAACTGATTTCAGCATTGTTTAGAGTAGAAAATGAAACTCTCGAATTGTGTACTCTGTTTTTAGGAATTTCTTCATTGAAATCTGGAATTTCTATTGTTACAATTAAGTAGTTTTAATTTACTTCTTTTACAGTGAAAGAAAGGCTTTTTCTAGTTAAGTCTTACTCTTTTACTATCATAACTTTGACTCATAAGTTAGACCTTTCTAAGTGCAAACTGTTTCTGAACACCAGCCATCAGTGAATGACGAAATGTTGAGACTCTTTATCTTTTCATTAATGAGTGTTTCCAGAACAAGAAATCAGAGTTTCATATTTCACTTGCCACCTCAATATTGAGTATACAGACTAATATATACACTAATTCGTTTAAAAAAAAAAATTATTTTTTTTTCCATCTTTAAACTTGTGGCAAACCTGCTGTTGGTACTAAGGGTTAGTCTGATCGTCCAAGTGAAGTTTCAGAACAAGAAAATTCCTATGACATAGACTAGGAATTGGAATAGTACAGTATCTCACAGTGCATTTTGCTGGATTTGAAGCTTAGGCTTGCATGACTGCCTTTTATTAATTCTGACAAATATTAATATTTATGTGAAAATTGTAAGTTCTTTCATTATTACTTTTCTTTCAGAGAGGCAAAGAAAAATGTGGTGGCATTGGCAAACTCTTCAGAAAACAGACAGACTTGTAGCATGCAGGCTGCAGACTCAGTTGAGGTGGAGGCTAAAAGCACAACTGACAATCATCCTTTTCCAGAACCTAGACTCCCCTATCCATTTACCTCTTGTTTGACTGAGAAGGAGCAGAAAACATACTTATATCTGATGACTAAGTACTCAAAAAAAATAAACCATTTTCAAGTTAATGCAGCAAGTCAAAGAGAGTTATTCACGTATCTGGTAAGTGTGCATATATGTACATATGAACATCACAGAGGAGTCATACAATTTTTTTGTTAGAAAGAGTTAAGGAGAAGGTAGCAAAAATATTTTTAAATTCAATTTGTCGTAATTTCCTTTTAACATAGTATTATGAATGGTAATAAAGGTTTAAAGTATTCAGGGTAACATTTTTAATATAAATTGAAAGTGTATTTGGTTATTTCATTGAAAGTGGGTGGGGTTTTTGTGGTTTTTTTTGTTTTGTTTTTTAGTAGTAGTTTAAACAACTGATGGTGAGCATAGATCTTTGGTAGCTGATCAAACACCCACCCACCCCCCAAAAAACCCACATTTCTTTATGAGAAGGAAGTTAAGAGTTGACCTTAATTGTGATTTTAGCATTTCATAATGGCATGTAGCAGTCTTGTATAATGTTAGGAGACGGATACATTTTGATGCAATCCTTGACAGCACCCTGTAATGGGAACTTTCTTCATTAGCACGAGGGGACCTGTGCGTTCACCTTCTATGCTTGCCACATCAGTGCTTACAGGAGTAGAAAGGCACAGGTTCGCACTTGCTGCTCAGTCTCAGCAATGTTGTTTAAATAGGGAAAGGCTATGTCTCGTGTTGGTTGGAAGTATCATTTTAGTTGAATCCTGTGTAATGTAATTAATCAGCACGTGTTTTTGAGCCATTGCATTTGGTTTCCCATGCTTCCTTGTTCATGCTAATTCCCTTATTTTATGCTGTAACAATGGGAATGTCATTCCCAGGCAAATCAGTACCTACTGCGTTGTTGTTACTTATAATGTAATTGCTTATGAAGTCAGAGCTCAGATATCTTTGTGGCTCTGTCATGTAAACTTGCTCCAACAATGTCTTGCAACCTTTCTTTTTATAAACCACCAGTGTATGATCAAAAGAAGCTTGCTGTTTGTTGGGGGGTGGTGTTTTGTTGTTTTGGGATGTTTTTTAAGGAAATAGGCCTTGCAAAATATTTTTTTACTTAAGTGAAACTCTGAACATATGCAAAGACTTGCCAAATTGAGCAGCAAGAGGAACCTGTGCCCTCCCTCGTACCATCACCTGTACTACCTCTCTGGAAATTTTGCTGGTTACATACCTAGCCTACAGGATTCCGTTCTGTCTTAAAAAAATAAATTTTTCCTTCCCCCCAGCAAATGAAAGAAGTAGTAAACAATGAAATTGCAGAATTTATGAAATTTGCCCAGAACGCTGCAAAAAGCTGCGCCCAAGATTATGATGCCATCTCTGAAGATGCACTATGTTATACTGAGGTAATTACCAATACTGTGTTTAATTCCTTCTCTTCTTAAATAATCATCTTGGAATCGTCATTGAGATACATAGGCACTGCTCACGCGATCTGATGTTCCCTGAACTTCTGCTCATTCCACGTTGGGATTGAGACATGACAAGTTGCCGTTTCCTTTATGCTGTACAGCATGGCTTGGCCCACAGTTTATTGTAGCCAATAAGGTACGATATAAGTGAGGTCACTGAATACAATACTGTACAAATATTTGATCATCAATTAAGTAAATGACATCTTTATATTTGGGAAGGGAGTAATTGCATTTTAAGTATGCTTTTACATTAACAAGCTGCTCCCAAATATACACTACTGGACAGAATGTTAAGCTTTCCTCCACAGTAGCATGTTACAAAGTCACTGTAATCAGAAGTTACTCAGGCTTTAACCATAATCATCTGCAAGTTCATGCTGTGTTACATATCCACTTTGATGATTCTGAAATCAAACACGAATGCAACCTTATATATCGTTCTTGGTTTAATAGCACATTTCGGGAAAAGAATTCCAGAATACAGGTTCGTTAAACTCTCCCATCGGTGGGTTGACTTGCTCTTGCTTGTTTTCCCCGTAGTCTCTTGCCTTAACTGAAATGGCCTACTTATATACTTTTTGTTAAAATTTCAATCTTTCCTAGTAAGTGCTGCATCACTTTCTTTTACAGAATAAAACAGAAAAATAAATGTGTTTACTAGAGGGTAGAACATTTAGTTAAATTCAGAAGGATTGCTTCTATTTCACCATAACACTTTTTATTACCTGCATTTTCATGCACAAGATAAATGTGTTCTCCCGTTAACACACGGTTTGGGCACATGTGAGGACAAAAACCTTGCTTTTTTTCCTAAAAATTGGGATTGGCTTTGTAATTTTATATCTTACACTTGTGTCTATTTTTCTAAGTAATTTTGTCATCTGGTCACAAAATGTATCTCCAAACTTGAAGTCCTATTTATAGTTAAGTTGATATCCTGAGTTAAAAATGAAACAGAGGCACATATTAAACAATACTTGCAGAAATAACTCGTTCTAGTTACTAAATAAAACATTATGTCTTAAATACATAATTCAGATATCAGAAAAAATGATGTTAGGATCTAGAGTTGACATGACAGCAAGTTTCAACACATACAGAATCTTCCTGTGTCTTTATCTTTGTGACTTTTACCCAGGCCTACTGTAAATTAGGTAGTAACACAAAAAAAGTACTAGTCCCTCTGACAGTGAAGATAAATAAACTGAAAAGAAAATAATTACCTGGTTAAGTACAGTTCAAACTGTACTAAAATTTTTTTTTCTATGATTGGTCTGAGCCTGTGTGCATACATTGTTAAACTTGTGTATGAAGGGTTGAGGAGAATTTAGAATATGTTTCAGTTCTGATAGCAGTGATTCTAAGGCTATTATAGAGTTGTACTGTTATCTCTAAGTTTTTAAACACTGTCTCTAACTGGAAAAGTTGAACAAGTCTGTTAGCAGTAATCTGCTAAATATATCTGTATTCTCTACAGAAAGTGTATGCAAATGCAACTTGCAATTGCAGAAAAAACTTTTCTAAATGAAATTCCTATGAAAGACACAAATGCATAAACTATTTTTTCTTTTTATGTTAGGAATTATTCCGTGCTTGTATTGGACATGTGCAAAAGTACCCTGAGTTTTACATGCTCCAGGAGATCATGAGTATCATGGGAGGAAAGTTTCATACACAGTTGACCTTTAGGCTGGAAAAAAATCTTCTTGTAATGGTAATATCTTACATATACATCTTGTTTTGTTGTTATTTTCAAATAAGTAGAATTACATGTGGATTGTGTTATGCAACGATTCAGGTTTTTTACAAGTATTATTCAGTGCTTGGGTTCGGAGTTATAATTTATAATTAAAATTGTTAATGAAAACATTAATGAAATTATTTTGGTAGTAAGGCTGTTAACACCCTTCACTGTATGTTTGCAATAAAAAGATGATATTAATATAACACTAACTTTATAATGTACCTGTATAAATTCTTAATATTTTTCATTATAAGAAGTGCAATGTTGGGTCAGCGTGATTTCAGTTAAAGCTATTTTCTGATACTGCTTGGTTTCTTCAAGGGTACAGCAAGACGTGGTAAAACAGATTTCCCTACCATGCCTGTTCAACTGCCCACAGATTATAAAACTGTTACATCTATTGTAACTCCAGAAAAGAAGGCTTCTATTATGCACAACGTAAGTAACCTTTTTATTGTCATTTTTAAGGCATATTTTGTAGAGAAGAGCAATGTGGTTCTTTTTATGTGGCAGCATCCCCCCCCCCCCGCCCCCCCCCCCCCCATCTTACACATCTTGTAGCATAGGAACATATACTGTATCATTATTTGTTTAGTATTTCATTTACAGCAATCACACTGCCCTCTTCAAAAGTTGGGTTATTACCTTTTGGACCTAGTGCCTCTTGAAGGGACTTCCTCTGTTCCCTCAGTGAAACATTAGAGAGGTCCTTAAATTGGAACACACTGTCTGTGAAATCTAGGTAGGATTGTTTATTACAGTGTTCTTTTTAAACTTCGCTTTGCAATTTCTAAGCTGGCCTCTGTGCGTGTGAGTGTGTATACATACATATGAATGCATGTAGGTGTAAAGGCTTCTGATTTAAGAAAGAAGTCCTGAGGGTAAGAAGAAATACTTTAGACTGTCTAGTTTTCTGAAAAGTCGATTAGGTTAGCTTACCCTGGGAATTTCTTTTGCTAAACAGCATAAACTCCTTTTCTGAGTTGAACAATTTTTAGATTCCATTCCACCTTACCATTAAATATCTGATATTTCTGTTTGTGTTCTTCCACAGAGAAAATCAATGAGCTTTTCATCCTGTAGAACTCATTTTTTGTGCCTGTTTATTCCAGCTAATTTGTTATCCGCTAATTTAAGGAGTTTGTTCACGTATCAAAACCCAAACTTTCAGCAGAGGCACTGTGATTGCAAAGACACTTTTGCTTAAGAAAGTAGCAGAGGTGACACAGGAGGATGATACATACCTCAAGAGATGTTATAGCTATAAACAGAGAATATTTCTGATGATGTCTCGGGTGGCAGAAAAAAGAACATAGCTAGGTTTTTCTCATTTCTCTCTCATGGTCCTCAGTTCTGGGCTTCAGTTACCTTCTTAGTCCTTGATGTTCTCCTCCCACCTCATGAGCATTCCTAGCCTCTTCTCATTATGGAAACCTGTACTCATAATGTTTAATAATTTTATAATTTAAATTCTGAATTTGTATTCTTCATGTCTTTATATTTGTTTTAAGATTCTTTATATGTAATCTATATTCAAACAACTGCGCAGTTTTAACCATATTTTAATGTTAGATGTCTTTATTGTGCTATTACTTAACTCATAAGAAGATCTGTAATATGTGCGAGTGAATGTTGTTTTTTTTCTTCTGCAATGCACTCCCATATTTCATAATCACCTAAATTCCTATTCAACCTAGTAATTCAAATTAATAGGAATGAACTGAAAGATACAAGTTAAGAAGATATATTTTCTCATGCTGCAAGGTGGATGCATAAGATTCAGCCAGAAACGTTCAGGGGAATTTTTTGCTTTTTCATTTGATTCTGAAGCCTAGCACAGTGGTGGTATTTGGGCATTTGGGGGCAGAGGGGGTTAATCTGTGTTTGTTTGGGCTTGGGGTTTTTCTTAGGAATTTAAATTTATGTGTGTCTTTCTTAAAAACGTTTAAAAATTTAACTTTTTTCTGTTTAGGATATTAGTTCAGATTCAAATGCAGAAAAACTTGCTTTGAAATACTGTCCTCAAGTTGTTTTAAGTAATCAATCATTATTTACTTTACTGAATAATCATGGACTAAACTACAAGGAACAATGGGAAATTCCAGTTTGTATTAAAATGATCCCTGTTGCAGGTATAGTATGTTTTTGTTATAAAAATTATTTTTTTGTCCGTGAAGACCTTTATATATTCTCATAATCCTTTTCAAGTTGACTGAAGAACAGGAAATTAGAAAATCCAGTAAAACCAACTGCGGGAAGGTAGGAGGTAGTCTGGTTTAGTTCACACAATAATAGAATAGTTTAATTTTGGTTTTATTTGAAAAAGAATGAAAATCATAATTGTAATTATAAGCTCAGATTTTTACCTTTTCTGAAGAAGCAGCACTCTAGAATGCAGCCGTAAGAAAATAGTTTCTCTTAAGTACTTCAATGTTTTTAATGTAAGGAATCAAAGTAATGAAATTTGAGTTACTTAGTTCACACATCTTAAAGGGCAGAATTCTGAAGTTAATAGTTTTCAGCTGTTGGCTGGTAAGGAGTCAGGGACCTTTGTGTTCTAAAGAAAAATGTTTAGTTCAATCAAAGTTATTTTAAAAAATGGACTTAAAAAAATCCATTGCTATAGTTTGTCCTCTGTTTTCAAGGAGGAAAGCTGATAGCAAGGTCATTTCGTAGTTTTCTACACCTTGTTCCACCTTGTTACTGAGAATAGTAACAATCTCTAGAGGTATCACCATTAACATTGAATTTGGACATACGGGTATGTTCCACTTGGGGGGGGGTGGGGAATCAGTTAAATGTCCTTTTGCTTTTCAAAACTGTAAGCTCTGATTCTTGGAAAGAAAACAACTGCATGAAGCTGTTAAAATTATCAAGTGAACGGATTTCAGTAAGCTAAAAAAGAGAAATTCTGAAGTTTTATGAAAAAACAAAGCAAACCTTTTCTGGAATTAAAAGGACCTATTTACATCATAAAATAATGAATAAATAATTAATGTCCATGGAGATCACTTTTCCCATTTGCAACAAAAAATGTTTTGAATAAACTGATTAACTCATCTGAATGCTGTACTTCTAGTCGTCAAGCACTCCATCAGTAATATGAATGTAGATTTCCTCTCTTGTTATGGTTTTGGCTTGGTTTTTTGTTCGTTTTTGTTGTGGGGGGTGGGGTTTGTAATACACCAGGGTTTTTTTCATGATGAGTGTTTATAATGATTGCTGTCTTGGAATGTCTGTGTTGTGTGTATTTCACACAAATTTGTATAGCAGACATCTGGATCGTAGTAAATAAGCTGTCAAATATTTGCAAACCTCACAAATTTTGCACTTTCCTACGTGAAATTAAATTACTTCATCTGTAAAGATATGCCTGACTCCTTTTATATCAGCTTTACATTTTTTAAACTTAATTTTTAGATCCAAAGTTAATACCTAAAAGGCATTCAGAATATTGTTACCAATATATACTGTTTCTTGAAGCGTTTCTCCTCTCCTTCCTTTTCCACTTTTCCTGTAACCCACCTCTTGCATTAATGAATTTTTTTTCATCCACGGATATTATTTTTTTTCTAAAACAGTGATAGTATGTTCACCATGTGCCTTTGCTTTCTGTATGATATTGGGCAGGGTATCACTGTTATTTCTGGATGAATCTATGAATGTTTCATGCGTAAGTGTGTTAAGGTGTAAACAAAAGAGTGGGGCAGCAGACACAGTGGACATAGTTACTGATTAGAAGCAATATAAACTGCTGCCATCGCTTCGGGGCAATGAGACTTTAAAAAAAAAAAGGTTCATCAAAGGAAGAAAAAGATCTTTTTGGAAAACAATACATTTGATGATATAATGCAGCGTAAGGAATGATGAATTCTAAATTCTTATTTTACAATTCTCTATTTAGAACTGCATTTAAACTATGATCAGTTGTTAATGTGGTGTGTATTGCTGCTGCAGGATCCTAATAATTCACACTGTATGTGGACATACTTTTGTTTTCTGTCGTTAATGAACGAGAGGATAGTTTTTCATTTCTTCTAGTGTGAATGTGGAATGGATTTGACCATAATTGGAAGTTGAAAAATTTGTTATTTAAATTATACAAGTCTTTTTTCCTTTCATTTAATATGTACTCAATCCCTTTTTGTTCTTGAAAAGGTAGCAAACCAGCTAAAGTGGTTTATGTTGATTCACCCCTGCTGAGAAAGGAAATGACAGTAAGAGAGAAGAACCAAATCTTCCATGAAATTCCAATGGACTTCCTAGCAACTAAAACATCATATGTTTCAATTTCTGATGTATTGATGGACAAACCAGCTGAGGACAGTCTGTTTCAGTGGGATGTATGTAGCTTCACCTCTTACTAAAAACAAACAAACCCAACAACCTATGTTATAATTCCTAAGTTACTTGTTCTGTGATAATGAAGGAAAATTTAGGTTTCCTGTTGGTAGTTTTTCTGCTGTTGAGTTACGGACCCTATGTTTTAAAATGTCTGTTTAGTTCCTTTAAATGCTTCTATTACATCGGCATCTCGGCTTTAATGTTTACTTCATTAAAATGTATTTTGATCAGTTTATTTAAGTGGGAAGAGTTTTATGAACTTTATTTCTCTTTTGAAAGACGTTTCAACTCCTCGGACTTAAGATATTCAGTGTTAAACACCTGAAACTTTTTTTTTTCCAATTACTGTCCTTCTCTCCCAACAGTCAAAATGTGGATAGTAGAACATTTTTCATGTTTTCAATTTGACAGTGTCTCATTTGTGATTAACACATTCTATTTCTTGGTTTATTTGATTTTTTTTTTTTTAAATATTATTATTTTTGCCTCCCTGTGTTAAGATGTCTTCTGATACCTACCAGTACAGGAAGATTCCTCTTCCAGATGACACAGGGATGGACTTCGATGATGATGTTACAGAACTGGAAACTTTTGGAGCAACCGTCAAGCTCTCAAGAACGTCTAAAATGGAAAATACTTTTCCTACAGTTAGTAACACAGCTAAAGTTTTATCACATGGCCTAAAAATGGGGAAAAAAAATACATCCACCATAAACAGTGGAGGTGAAGAAGAGAAAAACACCATTTTTGAGCAAGGAGTTTCAGCATGTGTCAGCACGCAGCTTCCATCATTAGATGGCATTCTATGCTTCAGCCCTGAAGAAAATTCATCTTGTACAAGCTTTAGTTCAGAGGAGGTAGGACTGAACAAAGCACAGCATGTCATGACCAAAGAAGTGCATCATTCGTCAGGCAATGAAACAAAACTAAATACTCTCTCTAATGCTGTTAGTTACAATAAAGAGTCTGATTCTGCACAAAAAAATGAGACTTACACTTCTTTATGCAGCAGTGACACGGATGAAGAGCGTTTGATAATTGATACCGAATGTAAAAACACTGATTGTTGCAAAAGGACTGTATCAAACACTGTTTCACATACCTCAGCAGAGACTGCCAAATCACCTTCCCCCACCCAGATTCCATTAGCAAGCATGACTGATTGCTCAGATATCATGGATCAGGGAAAAAATGCCTCCAGAAAGCCTGTAAGAAAGTTGTCCAAAGAATTTGATCCTGTCGGACAGATTTTGAAAATGCAAACTGAACTTCTCAAGTCACCTTCCCAAAAAGCTCATGAGCAGCCGGTGGTGAGCTGTGATCATTCTAATGCTTCACCAGCCCATGTGTCTCAATCTCCAAAACCTTTGGTGACCTCTAGCACAGAAACTGTGCCAGCCCCTGCCTCAAATCCCAACGGCTCGTCTAGAAATACCTGGACTTGGCTTTTTCAGGGAGTGCCAAAGAGTAAGTAACTGTGTTCATTGTTTAAGGAGGAAAATTTCAAATTTTCAGTAAAACCCAACAGAAAAGCATTTTAACTCCTTCATCTGAAGAACATCCTAATAGTACCTCTGTTACATTTATTCAGAGATGTGACTTAATTTTTTTTTTAACAATACCTTCTCTGTGTGAGAATTACTTGTACATGTAAGGGAGCATTTTGGGAGTCGTTTGTCCACAGAGGTGAATGTGAAATATTGTTTTACACTAGTGAAACAAAAAGTTGTTATACATGAGGTTTTTAAGCAAGGAAAAGAAATAATTTGGTAGTGAAATGAGTTACTTTTCCTCAGAAATTCAAATATTTGAGTAGTCCCGTCTGCAAAAATAGTTTCTTGTCGATCAAAAATATGAAATTAATTTACATTTTCTGTAGAAGAAAAATTAAGCAAATTATGCAATTAAAACTTGAAAGAAAACTTGAAATTTGGGTGTCAGTTCTGAGATTCCCAGTTCAGTTGCTGTTTCTTAGCTCCTAGCAATCTTTTCCAGAAGACTAATGAGGACTCACTACAAGCCACCTCTCCAGGTTTTCAGGCATTTAGCTGGAAATTGAACCTGTGCTACACCCAGACCTCAACCGAGAAGTCTTGAAGGTCCTAGGGATCGTGACCTTTGAGGTTTTTCTCACACGCCTGAGTTGTGTCTGAGCTCTGTACAACTGAAGTTGGAAGCACTTTATTGTGTTAGGTAAATTGACAGGAAACCAGGCAGGTTGCATCAGGACAGATACTCTTTTTCTCAAATATTTAATTCCAATGAATCAATGCTTTTGGTGGGAAAATGTTTCGCTGGTATTTTCTGACTAGCTGTGCATTTGATCACCTAGGAATTAATCTTAATTACTTACTTAATCTGTAATGGAAACAGTTAACACAACTAATTTTGTTTTAGTTGAAATTTTGTTATCACAAGTAGTCACTAAAAGACGATGTCTCCTCCCTCAGTTTGAAGGGTTGAGCAGCATGGTACTCTTTCTATTTCTCCTTCTCTTAAAAAGCCAGAGTATGGAATTCAGGTATTTGATAATAGTAAATATATATATTTTTTTTAATAGGGGTAGTAAAACCAGTATCGCTAAGATGCTGAAGTGTGACTGTGAAAGAACAGAAAGCATAATTCTACAAATTGAAAGTTCTGTAGCAAGCAGATAAGCCTTTATGCATGTCTTCTTTGCAGAAAGCCAGAACTGAGTTAAATATTTTACAACCAGAAAATTATTTCTGGTCACTTGGATGATAATATCTCACACAGTATACATTTATTCAAAGATGCACTAAACTCTAAATTTAATGTTAAATGTATTTGTTTGTAGCCCTACAGCAAATACCTATTTGTAGTTGTAGTTTTGACACATATTTCCATATATCTGCAGGACAACAAAACAGAGCTGAAAAAATTTTCAATAAATAATCTTAAACAAGTCGGAGTTTATCCTTGTTTATTTTAAATGTTCTGTTAAAATACCTCTAAGGGATGCAGGGATGTTTGTTAACCTACCTCAAAGCTGCACTTGGGGATCTAAGAAGTGTTTCTTTTGATATGCTAGTATTGAAATAGAAGTTGAATTGAAGCAAACTCAATTTGGAACAGAAGCTTATGCTACCGTCCAAACCTGAGGCTTGAGTTATTTCAGTAACTGATAAATGGATGGCAGCTCTCAGGAGGCATTCATTGTAAATAAAATTTTTGTCTCCTTTGTGCTGAGTGACTGTGGCTTAAAAACCAGCCTTTGAACTCCATTTGTACAAGAATGGAGTCTCACAGCTCTGTTTGTATAAGAAATACAATGATTAGGATAAAATACGTGGAATATTTAAAAATACACTCTTTAAAATTTATAGCTGGACATTTTCCAAATTTCTTTTTTTTTAATACGTAAGTGACTTCTTGTGCCTAATGAGATGGTTTTCACTCCAAAATCTTAGGAAACAAAACAGATCCTATTAAAAAAATTTAAAAATTATTAAAAAAAAAAAAGTCTACTGCAAGAGGAAAAAACTAATTAGCTTCATGTTAAAGAACGTGCAAGCTTGTCATTTTCTGTTTTATGTATTTTCTATAGGAAAGCTGCCAAATGAACTTCAGATGCTTGAAGAAGACCCTTCAGAGTATAAAGCACCTCAGGATGGCAACCTTGTGTACAAGCTATTCAGTTTGAACGATCTGTTGTTACTTGTGCGTTGCAGTGTGCAAAAAGTGAAGTCAGTGCCACGATACCATAAAAAGAAAAAAGCACAAAAGGTACAGATTCTGCTTTCAGTTTTTTTGTTTTGTTTTTTAAACGGTTATGCTCAACTGGCATCTCTGGGATTCCCAGTCCTTCATAGCATCTGTGTTTTCACTCAGGCAACTAGTACATTCAATTGTAACTCTACAGTGTGTGTCTTTAAGTAAATATGTGTTGTAGGAAGAGAGGGAAGAATGACTTGTGATCTCTTTAAACCTACTTGATTAGAAGATAAGCAAGTGTGATTCTGTGTTTCTTACTACAAATGCATTACAGTAATATGCATAGGTAATTATACTCATGTAAACTAAAGTCAGTTTGAACTATTCTTAAAAGTTAATGCAGTAATTAGGGTTTTGGGCCAAGGCTTTGAGAATGTTCATGATCATAAGTACTTTCAAGCAGGATTCAGCCTTGCTGTTACGCCTAGTTAAGCAGAGAAATAGAAGATAGAATGAACAACAGAGGACACATTTAAAGATAAAAAGAGATCCTATTCATTCTGCTTGAAAAGACTATGATATACATCTTAGCAAATTGTCTTGAGGAATAAAATACTTTAAATGCAAATGTTATCTGAATATTCCATGAAACATCAGGAGAAGGAAGGCTTATTCTGGAATCCTCAGGAATTTATTTTTTCAAGAGTCCTCTGAATCATTCAATAAATTTGATGTGGTATCTCCCTCCCCAGAATACCAGAGTTATGGTAGGCAGGCATTTTGTGAGGTGTTTGTGCTTTGTTGAAATGGAAATAGATCTTTGTCATTCTAATTACTTGCTGAGGTTCTGTGCTCAGATTCTTCTTTTGGAGAAATACCATCTCTTTGCTATTGATCCGCTGCTTATAAATGCCTGTGAATAGCTGCTTAGTTCGTTCATCAGAAACTGAGCACTGTTGTTTATTTTTTAAAATTCCTGCT